CAATAGGCATCCCTCCAATAGCCCCCCATCGGGGCAATGACAGCATGCAGGGGGTAATTCTTTTCATTACACTCATTCCCCCCGAGTGAGATCCACTCTAAACGCCCCATGTTGCCATTCACATTTGCTGGATCAAAACATGGCTTCTTATCCGGGATGTTATGTCTCGAAACAACTGTCAGGAAAAAGCGTGGGGTGACTAAGCCTAAGACTAAGCCTAAGCCTAAACCTAAGCTAAGCCTAAGCCTAAGCATAGCCTAAGCTCGACCTAAAACTGACCCTAAGCCTAAACCCAAGCCGAAGCCAAGCCTAGCAGCTTAACCTAAGCCTAAGCCTAAATTTAAGCCCAAAGCTAACTGTAAAGTGTTTTTACCCAGGCTGGCGTTTTAGGATGGGACCAAGCCTATCTTGTTCAGAATTTTTTGCTGATTCCGAATCCGTTTTCCAAATTTGCTGCGGACTTCGCGTTGAAAAGTGATTTTTGGTCTAAATTAAGCTTAAAAACGGCATAAATTCGGATGCTGGCCCACTATTCCCTGTCTGGGTCCAGGTATTGTTGTGCCCGTTATCTACCCGCCCGAAGCCCCGTTCTCGGTTGGCACCATGGTGCATTGGTAAGCTGTTCGCTTGCCAGGCACAGAGCGGCGGTTCGATCCCCGCCCTGCACAATTTCTTTTGCTTTTTGCACAAAAACACAAGATTTTTGCATAAAATCGTGCTTTGACCTCGAAAACCATTACCGAGCCAGTTTTAACGTCGGAGGTGACGACAACTCAAAAAAATAACGCAAAAAAATCCAGATTTAGTCAATTTTTTTAGCCTAAATGTCGAATAACTTTTTAAATAAAGGTCGGCAGCAAATTTGGAAACCAGATTCTGAATCAGCGAAAAATTCTGCACAAGATAGGCTTGGTCCCATTCTAAAACGCCAGCCTGAGTAAAAACACTTTACAGTAAGCTAAACCTGAGCCTATGCTATGTTAACCCTAAGCCGAAGCGAAGCCAGAAGCCAAGCTTAAGCCTAAGCGCAAGCCCAAGTCAGGCTAAGCCGAAGCCTATTGGTCAACAAAATTTAAACCATTAATCAATTATAGAGGTTTTTAACGGCTGAAATTAACTTTAAAACCTACCATAATAACGCTGAAAAATGTGATGAGTTTGGTAGTGGATTTCGTAGCGAAAGTGTGAATGCATGTGATGTGTAGAGGAATGGAATGGAATGGAATAAGAAGGAAAAGACGGGAGTGGACGTTGGTTCGGGCGGCTCGAAAAGAATCTGGGGTGTGTTGTGTTGGGAAAACGATGAAGGGGGAAAGAGGTGGGAACGAGGCCTCCGGGCGCCCACCCTTTCTCTATCAATGCAAAGAGACTGTTTTTCGGGAGGGCAATCTCGAATCGGGGCTCTGATAGACGGAAAAGACACAATTTGTTTAATTAATATCAATAATTAATAGCAAGCCGCAAGCAAAATTTCCGAAAAAAAGAGAGATTTGGAGGTACGGGACTCTCAGCGGGGGAGTGTTTTTTGACAGGGGGAGCTAATTTTTGCTTTTCCTTCTACATTTTTGAAACTGCTTACAATAAATGGTGTATTGTTTTGACGTCTTTCGTAGGCTTTAATTGCTAAAAAATTACAAAAAATATCTTAAACATTATTTGCAAATTCGAAAATTTTACCTTTTTGGCCATTTTTTCATAGATTTTTCACCCAAAATCAAAATTTTCGAAATTTTTAGAATCGTTCGTGATCTTTTTATATCTAAAAACCGGTAAAATGTTAGAAAAATGACTTAGTTATGGTTGTTTGTGTCGTGGTTACTGTACAAAGTTACCGGGAAAAGTTAGTTCCCACCTAGCCCCCTTTCCCCCCCATTAACAGTCCAGTACCCTAAATTTTACTTAACGTCGAAAAATATTGTTTTTACTCTTTACTAATGCCTGTGAGCAATCAAAAACTACCAAAAACTTACACTATATATTATTAACAGTGCGGCATAGCCAAAAAAAATTAGTTGCCCCGCTAAACCCCTCCCCCCCTAACAGCCCAGTACCAAATTTAGTGCTTTTTTCCGGGTTCTCGTTAAATCTTTCGTAATTTCCGGACTACTCAAAGCGTCGATTCATCCTCCCTAATTCTCCCAAATTTCGAGCACCAGCTGTGAACACCCCCATCTTCCCATGGTATCCAAACCGATTGGTCTCAATATGCCTGGGAGCGCGCACCCATTTTTCGCGCCCCAGCTTTTCGCCTCCCCGTGCCTTGAAATTGGTGTGACCAAGTGGGTTCGTTTGTGTTGGCCGGCGGCCGAATTCCCGGCCGGAATCTGGCGCACCAACAATATCAGCAGGGGAGGGCTAGAGGGGGGTAGAGGGGGGCAATGGGCCGAACCGGAACCGCCTTCTCAGCCCCCCCTCCCTTCTACCACCACCTCAGGCCATCAGCTCCATCAACCACACACAAATACATATAAAAAAGCGGCAAAAAACATCAGGGACGCCACGCAGGCGCCAGCCCTTTATTTAGATAGGCGAGGAATATAGGAGTACTAGGGAATTTTGGGATAAAACGAGGCGAATGTTTATTACAGTTTTTTATGGATACCAAATTTTTAAAATGACGATGTCGAAATTTCGCCATGTCTAAAAAATGTCATTATGTCGAAATTTCATAATGTCGAAATCCATAATTTTGAAATTTGAATCTGTCGAAAATTAATAATCCCGAAATTCAGGACGTCGAAATTTTTGCATAGGACTTGGCGTTTTAGGGGATATTTTCTTATGTAAATTTCGAAATGCGAGAATTTCGTGAGTATGAACTTCCGCCACCAGCAAACTTTCGACATTATAAATTGGACATCATGAAATCTATAAATTATGAAATGTCGGCATTATGATTTTCGACATTAGGATACAGCTGGATGCAAATTTTGCAAAATTATGATTTAAAAACACAATTTTTAAAATTTTACTTTCCAAAAAAAAGCCATTTTCGTAGGGATAGTTGATTTTCGGGGCTATAAACGAAATCTATCAGTAAATTTAAATTTTCACCTATTGGATTTTTCTATTCAGAAACCGCCTATAATTTTAAAAAATTAAGACAACAAAGCCGCCAGAGCCCGATCAACAGCAAATAAAAATTATTATAATCAGATGAAAATTCAGCGAAATTGATAGAAATCAAATAAATAAAACAAAAATCCCGAAGCCAACTCACCGGTGAGGAGTACAACACCGCGCCGTGGCAGAGTGCCAGCAACTTCTGCAATATCAAAAAATGTTCAATAAACGCGGAGAGCCACCGTTAAAAGCCAGCGCCACCGGGATTTGTCCGTGGCCATTATGGGCCCTGTGTGCTTTTTTCATAACGCTTCGGTGAGCGCCACTCTCAACCTTCCGGGCCACAGCCGACGCACACGCCAAAGTTTTGGACTTTTGGTTCCGGTTTTAAGGCAAAACAAGAAAGTGTTTCTGAGTTTAGAAAAATTTGGTTTATTTGAGCGGGTAGGTGGATTTTAATTTTAAGTTTTAAGCAGTTCTAATAAAAAATTATTTAAAAAGTTTAAATGTTGATTTTTTGAGCGAAAGTCTATAAATGTCTAAATATGCGCAAAAACTTCCGATTTGAAAAATGTTTTTTAACGCCTGGCGAACCAGAAGCTAGTAAAAAGTCGATAGATACATTAGTTTTTACTACTAGGCAGAAATCGGATAAAAGAAAAAATTTCAAGAATCTATCAAAAACTCGTTTAAAGAGTTTTTCTAACTTTGTCTTACTTTTAAATTAGCATAGACTTTGAAAAAACCATTAAAATACCCAAAATTTACGACCAAACTAAAGGTACCGTAATTCTAAAACTCCCAAACCCACCTTTATGATGCGAAAACATATCCCTGCCACCGCCGCCACGCAGCCAGTCCATCCGATGGATCCTGAAAATAGACGATTTTCAAAAATATAGTTTTTACCCGAAGATAGGCATTCCTGGGCAAATTTTCACGCTCGGATTGCTATGAAAAATTGGTAGGGAAACTTGGATGCGGGAGAACAGTTTTCAGGGATCATCCCACCGTTTCAAGGCTAAATCGAGGCCACCGCAGCTTAGGGGTTGGATTGTAAAATCGGGACGGTGGTTTTACGGGGTATTCATGGGTAGTTTTTGGACTAAAAGTCTCCCATCAAGGAACTGCTTAAAATATGGGTATAATTTTGTATGGACTTAATACTACCTAGACAAACCTGTGGTCGTGGGCAAGGCGGGCGATTTCCGCTCTCAGAGCATCAAACTCGGCCTCCAAATCGTCTAGCGATCGTGTTGCCACTGGGAAGCTGCGACACCCTGAAAAAAAATGGATTTTTAGTGTCTTCATAAGGTATTTCTAACTCTGAAAGTGATAAAAAATTAGGAGCTTTGCCACTATCGGGGGGGGGAAGCAGGAGCAAGCCAACTTTATTTTTTTCCAAAGTATCGACCTCTTCAATGATGTTAATATTATTGTTATTATTGCTAAATGCCCCAAAAACTTAATACTGCTTTTTAATATAAAAACCAGGGTTGAAAAACCGCTTCGCGGCTTTTCAACCCTGGCCCCGACTTCTCCAATGATATTCTTGGCTTTGCATAATTTTTCCGGATTCCGATGACGAAAAATGAAAAATGCTCTTGCCGTCCCTTTATATAGGCTACCGCGACTTCCGGTGCATGCTAATTTGATCCTAACAAATTGGGTTGCCCGATTTTCCATGAAAAACTTAATTTTAATGCCGAAAACATCATATTTTGCAAAATATGATATGTGTGCAGTCATCTCCAGCCCATTACGCACCTAATGACGTATCGAACATACCCCTAAGTACTTCCCTTCTTGAGATACTACTGGAACACGGTGACGGAAGTTGCATGCAAATGCACACACACACACACACACACATACACTATTTTTTTATATATAGTATTTTATATATATGCAAAACTTAATACTGCTTA